GGGGGGGGGGTGGGGGGTGGGGTGGGGCTGAAGAAAATAAAAGTGTAGGCTAATGACCAACTTGTTTGCAGCTGTGTTTTAATTGTTTTTTCTCCAGGATTAAGAACCCATTTTAAGAACCTAAATAGCCTAAAATTCTGTTAACTACCATTTATATAAGAACCTGTTTAGGCTAACTCCTAAAAATGTAGGTTCTTAGTTGCGGGTTTTTACTGTACGTAAAGTAGAACCTCAGTCATATTTTTACAAGATCCCTAAGTATGGTTTGTAAGTTTAAAAGATTCTTATTTAACTGTATATTGCTCTAGGTTTCTTAAAGGTAACAGACTCTAAATGTCAGAGGATTCTTTTGGCATTGGACACAAACAGGAGATCTACGACATCTCTCATACAGCAGCTGGTTAGTATTACAATTTCTTATTAGTACAACCAATCGGGTGTTCTCTTGCCAGTGGAGATTCTTAATAATAAATCTTACTTCATGTTTTTGTTTGTTCCTTGATTGCGATGGACTGGAAATATACGTCGGTGTGCCTTCTGTAAAGGACACAGAGAGCAGTTATTAAAATGAAATCTCTATTATACTTCAGGTTAGTTAATTGTTTTCAGCTTTTAATTGTTTTTTTTAAAATGCATTTTAAATATTTTTATCTTTTTTTTCTGTGTGACAGGAGGATACATCGTACAGCAGGCCAGGTAGTTCAAAGGTTGGATAGTGCTATCCAGTGGATAAATCACTCTCCAGCGGATAAGTATTAGGGATACCAATATTGCACCATTAAGTGGATAAAGATTTACTAGTGGACAGCGTTATCCACTGTTTGAACTACTGTAGGGGCCAGTACATAAATCAAGAAAGAAAAGCAGTGGGCAAAAAATTTCATTTTAGTGGTTGCATGAAAGAAGTTCATACCAACACAGAAAAGTGGGAACCCTTTTTGGCAGCATAATAATAAACAGTAAACAATGTTGAATAGCTTTCATGATTAAAGGTAGACGTACTTTGTTTAATTTGCAGATACAAGAGTAAGAAACACACAGGACGCAGCAGCTTACTCTTGGAAGTACCTTTGGTGGTCATAACTAATTACGCCAAAAAATCCTATGGGTTTTTATCCATAGTCTGGTAAGTTGAAAGCACTCAGAGGAAATCAAAGTAATAATGAATTCACATAGCTTAAATAATCACCTAAAAATAATGTTCCTCTCAAAACTTAGTGCCATCTTGAATACTAGGTTCTAGGTAATTAAACAGGATTATAGGTAACACATGTACAGTCCCATTGGGTTCATTCTCAAAAGTGATGATAGCCTCAGCATGACAATTTCATTGTGGGCCTTTAATATTGATCTGCAACATTGTGCATAATAAATTCTTTGTGGGCCTGTCATATGCAACATTGTACATAACAAATTCTTTGTGGTCTTTTCATCTGCAACATTGTGAACCTTCGAAGTTTCTTACCGGCTTGGCTTTTAGCATGTGTGAATTAATATTGTTGGGCTGCCTGTGCAGGCAACCCCCAATTAAATTATGAGCAGCGTTTGAGTTGAAAAATAGTCCTTTGAGAGGACATTAGCTTACTGGCTATGAATATTCTGTACAAAAACCATGTGCTTGCAAAACAAAATCGTTCTTCAAGGTAGTCACGTTCTGTAGTGACTTATAATCGACACATGCACTTTTTGTCACTATTTGTTACGTGCTAAAAAGCAAGGTTGGTTTGGTGGCCTCAGGCCAAGTTAAAACTTTTCACGGATATGGTTCTGGGACTATTGTAATTTCTTGCCAAGATTAAGCAAACAAATGTTGTAACGAAATTACCAGAAGATGAAATTTTTAAAATGCCAGTTGTTTTGAAATTGTGCAAATTTGTGACATTTTGATTGAATGTTTACATAGTAAAAGTGGCAGATTTGTGATTGCATTTTCCCACTTTGTGATTTTCAATGTTTAATACTACCAATGATTAAAAATTATTCATTACTAGTAAAACTCAATCATGTTGTTTGATTATGCTGTAAGCATATCTTGTAAAACAACATATATTTCGAGATAGAAAACAATCTTATATAAAAAAGAAACACATCAGCCTTTTCTGAAAATTAATATTCATTTGTGAGTTAAGAATTTCTATGAATGAAACTACTTATTTAACAGTAATTGTACTAACCATGTCAAGTTAGTTGAAAGTTTTGAAACATACTAACTTATTTTCTTGGGTCAGTGAGCGTTGTTAACACAGCCATTTGTGATTGACTTTAGGCTTGGGATAACCACCTCAAAAGAAATCAGTCTGTCATTGTGGACCTGTTTCAAGGGCAGGTAATGTTTAATCCTTCCATGAGCATGGATATAAAATCAAGAATAATGCAAGAGTCCAGTTTTGGAATTCAGCTGAGTTTATCCTATTGTTTATTACAGCTCAAGTCTCAAGTCAGATGCTTAGAGTGTGGTTATGTTAGTGTGAGGTTTGACCCATTCACATTCCTCTCCTTACCCCTTCCTATGGACAATTCAATTTATGTGGAAGTTATTGGTGAGTGTATTTTGTATAACAAACCCTTCTATATGATGGACACCTCTGTAAAACGGACACCTAGAGTTGGTCCCTGCCTTTCTTTACTCCTTTTACGTTACTCTTTGTAAAATAGACATCACTATATAAGATGGATACATAAAGCAGGTCCCCAAAGATGGCCGTCTTAGAGAGAGTTGACCGTTCTACTGTTCATTTTTAAATTTCAGGAACCTTCCTGCTGACATTTGTGAATATTGATTTTTACTTAGGTTGAGGCTAACTTAGTATCTATGTGTCATACAGAAGTGATTATTAATACAGAAAGTGACTATTCTCTGATCTGAAACCATTATATTGCTTTAGGAGCTATTTTTATTGCTTACATTTGTTTGTTTGTTTGTATAGTTGTCCATCTTGAGGGATCCACTCCCACAAAGTATGGTTTGCTTCTCAATAATGATGACAGATACAAAGCTGTCAAGAGAGAATTGTCAAAGTACTGTGGCCTTGTCTCTTCACAGCTTCTTCTGGTTGAAATATTTGGAGCTTCTGTCAGGGTAAAATACATATTACATGATGTAAACAAACATAAAACGGTCAGAACCAAGCTACTCTGTAGCTCATGCACACATAAGAATAACATTAGTTGTTCCTCTCACAATATTATTATCACTTTGTTATTGATTGCAATGGGTGGACCATGTACTGCTGGTCTTCATCCAGCAATGGTGTCAATTTACTGTGCAGGACTCAAGCAATATTATAGTTGCCTAGGAAATATTGTTGGTTGTGTGACTGCATTGTGGTCAATAATACCAAGGGACTATTACGAGACACAATGAGCAAGCCTAATGTAGACCATAATGAATCATGATTGTCCTTTGTTGTACAAAGTAGTTGGTTTCAACCAATGATATCATTATAATAACGTTATAAATTTTTATGCTTGACAGAGCTTACCAACTGATATGCAGAAAATCCGCACAGCCTTAGCTGGTGTGCTTTATGCCTATGAAATTCCTCTTCCTGCAATAGCTTGTGAAGATGATTGTAGTGCTTCCACAACTCCAGGTACCGAGGAAGAGAAAGGTTTATGCACTGATTGCTCTGTGGAATCTAACAACCGATGCTCTGTAAACCAAGGTACAAACTGTCAAACAGCTACTCCTAATTGCAATAATATATTGAGTGGTGAAGAATTAGAAGAAAAAGAGGGAAAATCCTCTAGAACAAACTCTGAAAATAGCTCTGAAGAAGGCGAAAACCGTTTAAAAGTGCAGGAAGACTGGTTTGCAGATGGAAAGAAGAACAAAAAGAAAGCCTCTTCAAGTCCGATCAAAAGACTGAGCCCCAAACTTCGGAAAAGGCTTAGTCCAAAGTTTGGTGGTGGATTTAACTTTACATTAAGAAAGTCTTCATCGTCAAATTCTTCCATTGAAATGACTGAAGGAACTTATAATTCAAATTCTGATTCTGGGATCAGTTTAAGTGTGGAGAATTCAGTGCCTTGCACATCTCAAACAAAGCAATGTGAGCTGTATCAAGGAGTCTGGACTCAAGTGGCCAGGCTGCTAAGCCCACCTGCTCCAGGGGAAACAAACTGTAAAGATGGGTAAGTGAGGAAAGCACTAGTAAGCAGTTAAAAGATTGACAATTTCTTTTTCCGCATTGTTTCACTGAGCTTAAAATTAACCATCTTTCATCCAGTCACCTCACAGTACGACATTGACATTGCAGATCCTTGTATTATGCAGGAAGCATGTCAAATATGAGCCTAGTTTATGGCCTCTCTCTCCATGAGTTCTCTGTAGCTCAGGTGGATAGAGTGCTTGCCCGGTCTTTGGGAGGTCAGAGGTTCGAATCCTGTCGGGGACTCAGATTTTTTCTTTGTCCCACATTCATGACATGCATTTTAATTCACTTTCACAATTTCTTTTTCCTTCACCAATCCTAACCAGCAATGGCCTAAACAGCCTGCATGAAACAATTACGTATAAGCCCCTCCAAACATAACTCCCCCCCTCCCCCAAAAACACATAACGCAGAAAACCCTTCCATTTAATCCCCCCTCTGAATATAAACCCCTGGGCCGAGTTGTTCAAAGCTGGGTAAAGATAACCCAGGGTTAGTGCGAGATTTGAATTCAGATTTGAAAGCTTAAAAAGCATTTCAGTTTTAATTCTTGTCTATAAGTTGATGATTGGAGGCTCTTAAAATAGCACAGAAAATTATGTGAGAAAATGCTTTTGAACACAAGAAAAAGAAACCCAGGTTAAATGTAACGGGTTAAGTGCTAATCGGCCTTCAAACAACTGGGCCCTGGGGGCTTATACTTGGAATTGCCCTCAAAGACAAAAGAAAACGAAACAAAAACATTTCAGTAACATATTTTTTTTATTTGCTGAAGAACTGTTGTGTGTGCCAAATAAATGCCGTCAAAAAGTGTCACAGTTTATGGCTGTTTCTGTAGTTGACTCTTCACTCTTGGCTTGGATTTCTTTGGTCCATAGATAAATTACTTGCAAGAAAGGTTTATTCTGCCACCTTGCACCCTAGTTTTTAAAGTTTGCATGGCAGAGATTTAAGAAGATCTGCATCTTCAGAGCGAGTTTCAGGAAAAACTTCGTGCAAAATTACTGACATAAATTTCCTTCCAACTATAAGGTAGCCCAATCGATTTTGAGACGCAAATTTCCCTCCCAAGTATAAGCCTAGCCACTTTTGTAACACAAATTTCCCTCCATACATAACCCCCTCCAAAAATAATCCCGTCAAAACGGGCCTTTGAAAAAATAATATAAGCCCCAGCACTTACTTTTGGAATTTTATGGTAGCTTTGATGCACAACATAGTTATGCACAGTCTCCCTCACAGCCATTTTTGTCTTGTCACGCAACAAAAATTTTTTCAAGCATTACCCAACTGCAGTGATTTCACCAAATAATATGTCAGAGATACACGCATAGATAAACATTAAAATTTGACTGTCAAATCAAAAATGCCAACCCTACTTCCCATTGATTGGAACTTCTTTAAAACATTTTTCCTTATTCTGAGTTTTTTTGAAAACTAAATCCTTGTAAATGCCAACTAAAGAAGAAAATTGTAAAGAAAGGTTAAAAGATGGGAGAAAAGCAGCCTGTTTTTTTTTTTCAAGATACCAGGAGTAACCTGGTTATATTTACCTGCTGCATGGATTATTCGTTAGTTTCCTTTTCTTCTTATCTCTTTTCAGAGTTAACTGAGCTCTTGCTCTGACAATTTTTTTGTAGGGATGCTGGTGATTTTCCTTTTGAGCTGCGGGCAGTTCAGAAGGATGGTCTCACGTGTGCTTGGTGCCCTTGGTACAGGTAATATATATCTCAGATCCTTCAGTGCTATGTAGTTTCATCCATATAACTGAATTTAATTGTACAGTCGAACACCCACTTAATACGGACACCTCTTTATTAGGGACAGTTTTCTTTGTCCCTGGGGCAAGTCCATACATTTTCTCTAAATTTAACCTGCTTAATATGGACAGCTGTTAATGCAGAAATGGGCACTTGTTTCTTGCCCAATGAACAGATTCTCATAGAACGTTAGGAATCTCAATAATGAGGACACTTCATTATCAACTGTATGTTGTAACAAACATTTCCTTTTTTAAGGTAAAAAATCTTCAGTTGACAGCATTTCGATGTTCCCAGCGCTACAGTACACTGGATAAGATGATTTTTAGACATCAATTGCAGGCTATTTTCAAGCATCAAAATAGAAAATGGTTTTGATTAAGTAGTACAGTCAACTCCCGTTATTGCGGACACCCTCGGGTCTGTGGTTTAGTGTCTGTAATAGGTTGATATTTAGAGGAGTTGCATTTATTTATATTGTACATTGTCTCCAGAACCAATTGCAGTGCAGTTTTCGCATATAAAGTAGTGTCAGAACTTTATTTACAAACAAGGCAAATCGTAGCAGAACAGAACTTGCCTCTCCCTTCATTCACCACAACAGTCACTGAAACATTTGTAGTACACAAAAACCATAAACTACGGTACTAGAAAATCCAGTTTATGTACGTTAAGTATGATAACAGATAAGTATTAGCTCGCGGGCTAATACAAGCATTTTGATTCAGCCTAAGTACCCATAACTAACAGAAGTGACCTTTATTTCCTAATCAGATTCTGCCATGGATGTGTTATAAAATGTAGTGAACAGGAGTTTGGCTCCAGTAGTTCGTACATAGCTATTGAATGGGACCCTACAACACTACACCTCAGATACCAGAGCTCACAAGAGAAAGTCTTCACTGAACACGAGAGTGTGGAGAGGAGCAGAAAGATGCAAACAGAACCTATTGACTTGTATGAATGTTTTAGAGCATTTACTAAAGAAGAAGAGCTTGGAGAAGATGAGTTATGGTATGGTTTTAACTCCTTTGTGAACCTTTCCTCTCTTTCTATAAGACCTATGTCTTGACGTGCCTGCACCGTATTTCTTGTTCATTCTTATTTCTCTGCTGCATTGGTCCTTTGAAGAACTTGGGTGGGGTCAAACGTGATGGGCAAACACACCATTTACATACAAATTTATTGAGGTCTTCACCCAATCAATTAAAATAAGCATATTATGCTAGAGCTCAACCTTTCATTCCTTAGTTCAATATTATCATGGGGATTTGTAATGTAGTTCCTAATTGTGAGTCTGTGGATGAAATCCTATGGTGTTACCATTCAAATGAAACAATAGTACTTTCACATAGTATTTTGTTTTCAGCATAATTATTATAAAATGGAACGTGGGAAATTAATCAGATTTTTATGTTGGCCTCACCGGGGTGGATGAGTTAAATTTGGTAGGTAAAATGTATGTAGTAAAAGGTTGATATTTATTTTGTTCATATTCTTCTTTCTAAGGTACTGCAACAGATGCAAGAAGCACAGACTAGCGGTGAAAAAGCTGGACATATGGAGTCTACCACCCATCTTAGTGAGTAACAGTATTGCTGATAAAGCACACTGTAACTATCTTGCGAAAAAGCAGTTATCGTGAAATCAAAACTGTTATTATGTCAGTCATCTTACGAACGAGAACAAAGAGTTTGACCCATTCAACCTTACTTAGTTCTGTTTGGTTACAGTACACTGAGTTTCACTTCATAATGGATCAAGAAATCTGGACTGTTGTCATCCGTGATTGTATTATTTTATACTGTCAGTGACAAAACTCAATATGTTACATACACCATACCTCTTTGCACTCAGTTACTCTGTTGGCCTCCACTCTTGCCTGCCTGCAGGCCTGCCAACTTAAAAAGTGGTCTGGTTTTAGTAATGGTATTTATTTACGGGGATGGGACATCAATCCATCACCAACCCCCCAACGTGGAGAGCGAGATGTTGCAGCAGTGGTTTACGGTCCCTCACCACTAAAAAATCTCGCCACCAACAAAATCGCCACCATATAATAACTCTGCAATAATTGACACTATGAATTTACTTACCTGGGATTGTTATTTCTTCCTCGAGCACAAATATGTTTATCGATTTTAACTGACACCTTGCGTCGAACTTGTCATCTTTAGTTTTATTTTTTGTGAATTATTGCGACTTTTTAATACCTTAATACGGCTTATTTGCGTCGCTCGATGTAAGCTTTAGCAGATGGAAAATTAAGATAAAAACATTCCTGGCCTGCAAAATAGGCTGAAGAAAATGCAAGGTCCATTAAGATTGTGTAGAGGTCAGGGAATGGGCACAGTTTTTTTTCTCATTCATACGCCACTTCCACATTTTTCGATAATGCACCTTATATGCGCCTCCCAACCCCCCAAATTTTGCATAACCTTTGTTTTTCATTTCTCCTGGGTATTACAGCTGTCCCAAGAGGAATTAAAACCAATGCTTATGCAAAATTTTTTGGGGCAAATAAGGTTCATCATGGGAAATGTAGCAGTGGCGTATCAAAGTGAGAACACTGGCATTGGCCGGTTCTTCGGAGATCACAAAATTCTATTGTTTATAACTCAAATTCTCAAATATCATATTGATGAGCTGTACTATATTTGTTCATAGGACGTAGTGAATTACAAAATAGGGGCGGTGGTGGCAATTAAGTAGGCTTTCTTTCTAGCAACTCTACATTTTATAGGAAGTTATCTTCTGTACAGCAAGTTTATCTTCCTGTTGGAAAATGCTTACGCTGTAAATTACTGTTTCTTTTCCATGTATCCAGCATCGCTTTGATGCGTATTTCCTATCACCACAAAAGAATCGACCTGGTCTGTTTGGAGTTCCTGTCATTGTGCCTTGCACTGCTCACACAAAGCAATGTGAGCTGTATCAAGGAGTCTGGACTCAAGTGGCCAGGCTGCTAAGCCCACCTGCTCCAGGGGAAACAAACTGTAAAGATGGGTAAGTGAGGAAAGCACTAGTGAGCAGTTAAAGGATTAACAATTTCTTTTTCCACATTGTTTCACTGAGCTTAAAATTTACCATCTTTCATTCATGCACCTCACAGTACGACATTGACATTGCAGATCCTTGCATTGTGCAGGATGCATGTCAAATATGAACCTAGTATACGGCCTCTGTCTCCATGAGTTCTCCGTAACTCAAGTGGATAGAGCGCTCGCCCGGTGTTTGGGTGGTCATAGGTTCGAATCCTGTCGGGGACTCAGATTTATTCTTTGTCCCACGTTCGTGACATGCTGATTAATTCACTTTCACAATTTCTTTTTCCTTCACCAATCCTAACCAGCAATTGCCTAAACAGCCTGCATGAAACCATTATGTATAAGCCCCTCCAAATATAACTCCCCCCCCCCCACCAAACACATAATGCCGAAAACCCTTCCATTTAATCTCCCCTCTGAATATAAGCCCCCGGGGGCTTATACTTGGAATTTCCCTCAAATACAAAAGAAAACCAAGCAATAACAGTTCGGTAACACATGTTTTTTTAATTTGCTGAAGAACTGTTACGTGTGCCAAATGAATGCCGTCAAAAAGTGTCACAGTTTATGGCTGTTTGTGTAGTTCACTCTTCACTCTTGGCTTGGATTTCTTCCATCCATAGACAAATTACTTGCAAGAAAGGTTTATTCTGCCACCTTACGCCCTAGTTTTTAAAGTTTGCATGGGAGAGTTTTAAGAAGCTCTGCATCCTCAGAGCGAGTTTCAGGGAAAACTTCGTGCAAAATTACTGACATAAATTTCCTTCCAACTACAAGGTAGCCCAATCGATTTCGAGACGAAAATTTCACTACAAGTATAAGCCTAGCCAATTTTTTAACACAAATTTCCCTCCATACATAACTCCCTCCAAAAATAAGCCCGTCAAAACGGGCCTTTGAAAAAATAATATAAGCCCTGGCGCTTACATTTGGAATTTTACAGTAGCACTGATGCACAACATATTTATGCACAGTCTGCCTCACAGCCATTTTTGTCTTGTCACGCAAAAATAATATTTTTTTCTGACTGTCAGATCAAAAATTCCAACCCTACTTCCCATTGATTGGAACTTCTTTAAAACAATTTTTCCTTATTCTGAGTTTTTTTGAAAACTAAATTCTTGTAAATGCCAGCTAAAGAAGAAAATTGTAAAGAAAGGTTGAAAGATGGGGGAAAAGGAGCCTTGTTTTTTTCAAGATACCAGGAGTAACCTGGTTATATTTACCTGCTGCATGGATTATTCGTTAGTTTCCTTTTCTTCTTATCTCTTTTCAGAGTTAACTGAGCTCTTGCTCTGACATTTTTTTTGTAGGGATGCTGGTGATTTTCCTTTTGAGCTGCGGGCAGTTCAGAAGGATGGTCTCACGTGTGCTTGGTGCCCTTGGTACAGGTAATATATATCTCAGATCCTTCAGTGCTATGTAGTTTTATCCATATAACTGAATTTAATTGTACAGTCAGACACCCACTTAATACGGACACCTCTTTATTACGGACAGTTAACTTTGTCCCTGGGGCAAGTCCATACATTTTCTCTAAATTTAACCTGTTTAATATGGACAGCTGTTAATGCAGAAACGGGCACTTGTTTCTTGCCCAATGAACAGATTCTTGTAGAACGTTAGGAATCTCACTAATGAGGACACTTCATTATTAACTGTATGTTGTAACAAACCTTTCCTTTTTGAAGGTAAAAAAATCTTCAGTTGACAGCATTTGAATGTTCCCAGCGCTACAGTACACCAGATACAATGATTTTTAGACATCAATTTCAGACTATTTTTAGGCGTCAAAATAGAGAAAGGTTTTGATTAAGTTGTACAGTCAACTCCCGTTATTGCGGACACCCTCGGGTCTGTGGTTTAGTGTCTGTAATAGTGAGAATCCATAATAATGGGGTGGGAGAAAAACATTTCTTGATATTTAGAGGAGTTACATTTATTTATATTGCACATTGTCTCCAGAACCAATTGCAGCGCAGTTTTCGCATATAAATTAGTGTCAGAACTTTATTTACAAACAAGGCAAATCGTAACAGAATGGAACTTGCATCTCCCTTTCATTCACCACAACAGTCACTGAAACATTTGTAGTACACAAAAACCATAAACTACGGTACTAGAAAATCCAGTTTATGTACGTTAAGTATCATAAGTATTAGCTTGCGGGCTAATACGAATGTGTTGATTCAGCCTAAGTACCCGTAACTAACAAAAATGACCGTATTTCCTAATCAGATTCTGCCACGGATGTGTTATAAAATGCAGTGAACAGGAGTTTGGCTCCAGTAGTTCATACATAGCTATTGAATGGGACCCTACAACACTACACCTCAGATACCAGAGCTCACAAGAGAAAGTCTTCACTGAACACGAGAGTGTGGAGAGGAGCAGAAAGATGCAAACAGAACCTATTGACTTGTATGAATGTTTTAGAGCATTTACTAAAGAAGAAGAGCTTGGAGAAGATGAGTTATGGTATGGTTTTAATTCCTTTGTAAACTTTTTCTCTCTTTCTGTAAGACCTATGTCTTGACGTGCCTGCACCGTATTTCTTGTTCATTCTTATTTCTCTGCTGCATTGGTCTTTTGAAGAACTTGGGGTGGGGTCAAACGTGATGGGCAAACACACCATTTATATACAAATTTATTAAGGTCTTCACTCAATCAATTAAAATGAACATATTATGCTAGAGCTCAACCTTTTTTTCCTTAGTTCAATATTATCATGGGGATTTGTAATGTAGTTCTTAATTGTGAGTCTGTGGATGAAATCCTATGGTGTTACCATTTAATTTTCACCTCTTCAACAGTATATTGACATATTACTATGTACCGTGTAGTTCTAACTTTTGAGTCTGTGGAGGAAATCCTATGGTGTTACCATTCAAATGAAACCTCTTCAATAGTACTTTCACATAGTATTTGTTTTCAGCATAATTATTATAAAATGAAACGTGGGAAATTAATCAGATTTTTATGTTGGCCTCATTAGGGCGGACGAGTTAAATGTGGCAGGTAAAATGTATGTAGTAAAAGGTTGATATTTATTTCATTCACATTCTTCTTTCTAAGGTACTACAACAGATGCAAGAAGCACAGACTAGCGGTGAAAAAGCTGGACATATGGAGTCTACCACCCATCTTAGTGAGTAACAGTTTTTTGCTGATAAAGCACACTGTAAATATCTTGCGAAAAAGCCGTTATCTTGAAATCAAAACTGTTATTATGTCAGTCATCTTACAAACCGAGAACAAAGATTTTGACCCATTCAACCTTACCTAGTGCCGTTTGGTTACAGTACACTGAGTTTCACTTCATAATGGATCAAGAAATCTGGACTGTTGTCATCCGTGATTGTATTATTTTATAGTGTCAGTGACAAAATTCAGTATGTTACATACACCATGCCTCTTTGCACTCAGTTACTTTGTTGGCCTCCACACTTGCCTGCCTGCAGGCCTGCCAACTTAAAAAGTGTGTCTGGTTTTAGTAATGGTATTTATTTACGGGGATGGGACATCATTCCATCACCAACCCCCCAACGTGGAGAGCCAGATGTTGCGGCAATAATTTACGGTCACCTCACCACTAAAAAATCTCGCCACCAACAAAATCGCCACCACCTAATAACTCTGCAATAATTAACACTGTTTACTTACCTGGGATTGTTGCTTCTTCCCCAAGCCCAAATATAAGTCTCTCGATTTTAATTGACACCTTGCGTCAACTTCTTATTTGCATCGCTTGAGAGGTGCAATTTGTTTAAAATCCAACAGCCTTTCTTTTGAAAGTTGGTTAATATTGTCACTTGAACCTTACCTCTTTAAATTTCATTGTAAATTTAAAGTGAAAGAATTCTTTTTAGAGACGTGTCCTCGTGGCGATTTCATTGGTGGCGAGGTGACCATATACCGTTGCAATTCGTCCTGGTCTTTCATTTAAAACCTACCCAGCACGGTTAAATCCACCACCCACCAGGGAACAAGGCCCCAGCTGGCGTACTTTTCAGGGTCATCAAGGTACCCAAACCTCCCCTTCACGCATGTTACAGTGCAACGCTTAGGGAGGATTTTATGCTTTGTGCAAACGGACACAACAGTGGTGGCCAACAACTCCCAACACTGTTGGATTTTACATGTTGCGCCTGTTTGCACACCCTGTTGAATGTTGTTGAGAGCTGTTGGGCAAAGTTTGAAACCGGTCAAACTTTAAGCTATGTGCAAATGGACGCAACAACTCCCAACAATGTTCCGTCCTTTTGCACGGGGCTTTACATTTAACACCGTTTCTATTCCACTGGCAGGTTATTCACTTGAAGCGATTTCAGTTAGTTAACAACCACTGGGTGAAGTCAAATAAGATTGTTCGGTTTCCCATGGAAGGCTTTGATCCTTCAGCGTTCTTGGCTAAGCCGTCCAGAAGTGGAACATCAAGTGCCATTACGTCAGATGGCGGAGTCACCACAGTCAATGTCAAAAGCAGTGAGGAAATGGTGAACGAGGAGGAGACTGAGGAGAGGAAAGAAGCAACCACACGGCAGGGGAGTGAAGTGAGTACAGACATCACTCTGTTTGCCGTATGTGACAAAGTACTGTTAGCTGGGATCTTTCGTAGTCGATCATCTGAAATAATCGGATTAACCCAACCAATTGATCATGGATTATAATCAGAGAAATCGCTTTATAAGAATTCCATTTATTGTTATCCTTTCTGTCTTATAAGTGTTGGTACAGCCTAGGGATGTGCTGTGAAATTTTTGACCTTCACAAAAATGTGGTTTTTCAGTCTCCAATCCCCTGTCGTAATAAAACTTCCTAAAGTAATAGACCTTTATTCGCTCTATGTATTATGCTGATTACTCAGTGTAGAAAATCTTGAGATGTTCTTCGGAGATTTCATTCCTTGTCTTTGGTAGCCTGTGCACACCACCCCTCCCCCACGCCTTCCCTCAAAACAATCAGGGAGAGAGTTCCCCTCTGATTTTTTTTAGGGAGGGGCGCGGCTGTACATTGTCTATGTCTTGTTGGAAGTAAGGAGTACGTGATGTGTCCACTACTCTGATTCTCTATTGGGTATTGTCATGTGATCTCAAAAGGAACAGCCAAACAACAAAGTGAATACGGTCTATTTTGATGGACCCCTTAAAACTCATTCTCACACAGCTGTGGTTATTTTAAATGCTCACTAATGTAATTTATTTTCTTTGCAGGAGTCATCGTCCCAAAGTTCAGCTGGAGAACTAAGTTCAAGTCAAGTTGAACTCAACCAAAACAGCAAGCCTCCCTCGCGTCATTCCTCGTGTTTAAGCCTTAACTCGGCCAAGGTTCACCCGGAAGTGACGTCAGAGAACTCTGCACCTACCCCTGTAGAAAGACCAAGCACTTCGGACTTCATTGTGTCAGATTCTGCAGAATCGCAGGGTACTCAACGTGAAAATGTGCGTAAAGTGTTGGCGGCTTCGAGAAGTGAAGGCTCACAAAGTGAGATACCAACGTACAGGATATACGCCATGTCGGTATGTCGAATGAAGCTCAAGTAAACTGTTAGTGATTCGCATTGTTCAAGACTCTCTTAGTATTTCTTACTGACTCTGTTGGGTTTGTTTTAGTGTCACACTGGTGTTCTGGGCGGAGGTCATTACATTTCATATGCACACAACCCAAACAGCAAATGGTACTGTTATAATGACAGTAGCTGTAAGGTTAGTACTGGATCAACATGTTTAATATGGCGGTCATACTGTTTTAAGGGTTTCTCCATCAAGTGGTGAACCTTTGCTATATTTCTAGGTTTATTTTGGTTGGACTGTTAACCATTTTCACGTTCGCCGTATTTTATTACGACTAAAGCCTCGTGTAAACGGACGCAAAATTGTTCACCAACAACTCCCAACAATGTTGGGAGTTGTTACGTCCGTTTGTACGTAGTTCAAAGTTTGACCGGTTTCAAACTTTGTGCAACAACACTCAACAACATACAGCAGGGTGTGCAAACGGACGGAACATGTAACATCCATTTGCTCCGGGCTTTACATGTTGCGTCCGTTTGCACACCCTGTTGTATGTCGTTGAGTGTTGTTGAGAGTTGTTGCGCAAAAGTTTGAAACCAGTCAAACGTTTAGCTACATTTAAACCGACGCAACAACTCCCAATATTGTTGGGCGAACAATATTGGAAATTATTGCGTCCGTTTGCGCGTACCTTTAAAAGGACACCTTTGAAACCGACAATAAGTATCCGTGTATGTGCGTCGTATAGAGATTGAAATAAAGGTAGTGAAGAAAGGCAGGAACCAACTCTAGGTGTCCGTTAAGAAGAATTGACTTAATTGCAACAGTTGTGGTGTATTATGGAGGTAACTAGGTTGATAATGTTTTCGTTTACTTCTCTTTTTTCAGGAATGTGACAATACTAAGCTTCAAAAGGACTCGCCCTACATGTTATTCTATCAACAGGACGATCTGGAGGAAGGAATGTTTCTTCCCAACTTCAATGGTCAAACGCCTGACTCAGCCAGCGATGACGAAGAATATGAGAACGAAGTGCGTAGACTGTGCGTCGTTCAATGAAGGTCCTTGGAGCCGGGGACGGGGGAAGAATCTTATAATTTATACACATTTTTTGTATTGAAATCTTCATTCAATGAATACTTACGCGAGCGTAAATTATCAGAAATGTTGTAAATATATCGACTCGGAGAATTTTATTTTTAAATGCCTTTAATGCAGATGATGAAATTATTGCAACAGTGCGTACAGGGTGGCGCTTCCTGTACAAGTAAAATTTAGAGTTAAGAGATGAGAGACTGGCAAACGGGACCAAAATGCGACTGAGTAGGGAGAGGACGTGTTTGTCGCCTCAGCCTTCCCTCCCCCATTGTCTTTAGCCCTTTACCTTGGTCTTGAAGGGGGTACCCATTTCGTACTCTCTCTGACAAGTATTTGTGTTCCGTGTGCTTTTTGTCCGTCATTTTTGTGTAAACATTTTGTTGTTTATTGTCTTTATTCCTCATACTATGAAGAAGATATGGTCCCTTTAAAGTACTTTAGTAATTTGTACTGTTAAAGATGAGGACTTCGCGCGCGAAGTTGCTGTACTTAAAAGTATGCGAATCAGAATGGTGTCACGGTATTCTATGCGATCCAGGTACTTCTATTCTTGTTTATAATATTGTTGCTTTTTTTGATGTTTTTTCTTTTTGCGCAACAAAACGTTCTCTTATGAGCTGTCGTTTAAGAAGGTGCCTTTTTTTTTGTCTCGGCAGCTCATTTGGGGAAAGTTTGCTGCGGGTCCCTCTTCTAACGTTCATATTTAATTATTCCATGTTTATTCCGGCGTGATAAAGCGATGACAATCTATGTCAATTGATAATAATCGATAGTAAAGTTTGTATTGAACTAGGGGCTCTGAATTAATTGTTGTCAATGTGTTAAAAACAAACATTATAAATTGAGCGCCCTTTATTCAACATAAAAAAACTGACAACAATATACAATATTCCTAATTCAGCACGAAAGAGTTGGAAAAATAATGCGAAAAATCCAAGTCGTGGATCGAAAACAGATTGAAAGAGAGTGTAAATTTATGTGGCCCGTGCTAGTCGGGCCGGTAGGAACGCCTGAAGTACTGTGAAAATTTCCGCGTTATTTTCAAGTGTACGCCACGCGCAAATTCTGCAGTTATTTCAGGCTGAGATTGTTAATAACCAACGACGTTATAGTGGAATTATTCCCTTCCCTTGTTTCACCACCGTGACATCAAGTCTCTAACTGCCTTGCAGAAAAAAAAAATTACATCTAGTGAAGCCAATTCTTCATAACACATCCAGTCCATACTTAAATGGTCTCCTCTTTTGAACCGCGAAGATTCGTCGCCTACATATTTACTCTTGACATTTTTTTGTATTCTTTGTACTGATTGGAAGAACTTGTTTTACTTTGGGGGAGAATGGGAAGTGAATAAAGTTCACTTTAATATATCTTACTGGTACTTTGTATTTGTACCTATTTTGTGTGGCCTTTCTTGATTAGAGTTTGTCAAGATTATTCGGTAGCGTCACGACGTTAACACTGTTTGTTTGGGTGACGGGTAATGAAGAACCTTTTCCTCTATTCCAGTTTCTTGACTTTCAGTTATAAAAGTTACCAGCCAGTTACATTTCTATTTGAACAGGAGAACCAACAAGCAAGGATCAGTTTGTTTCCTAGTTCGTTTCGTCGAGGTCCTTGAATCCTCACCTGTTGTGTAGAGCCCAAGTCTCTGGGCCATGCTTAAATTTATAGCCAATTTTATAATAGATCTTGTTATGGTTTTTGAAAGCGTTCTTGACGGGAAGGCAACCGCGCGAGAAATTACAGTGGTTGTATGAGAATCTTATGTCGAAAAACGCCTGTTCCGAAAAGAAAAATTGAATTGTAAACTAAAGCTTCACTCCTAACGATTCTACTGAAAAAGATTTGAGGGCGTTACATGCAGCTACATTCGCTAGAGCCTTTTTTAAAAATTTTCCAACATTTGTATGTAAAAATTTCTTCTTCCTGCCGACTAGACAAGGTGTATTTTGCAAGTAATTGTTTGTGTTTGCTGTTATGTTGTTTTCTCTTTATTGATTCCTTTTCTTTTGCATGGTCTAAGTGTTGGTGGCAACGATGAAATGTCAAAAGAACTATTCCCGAGTGCACGTAAAAAGTTGCACTTCAGCCCTCATTCGAGAAGCCCTGGGGACGAGCTCAGCTTCAGCTACCAAGAAAATGGCGGAAAATTTCACACTATTTGCGATCGAACAGGGGCACCCAACGACAATTTTCGGAAAAATATCTGTTCGGAAGACGATTTGAGATCTAGAATTTTCGGAACATTTGTTGTAAAATTACTTGCTTACCTGCCTCTTCTAGGATTTTCGAACATCTAAAAAATGGTAAAATTGCCCATTTTCAACGGATTTTTACCCTAAAAAGGTCACCTAGAATTTTCGGGAGCCTTTTTTCTGGCTGAAATTTTCGAACAGGTAAGTTTTGATCCCTATAATTTTCGGATTACTAGACTTTCAGCTAGGAAATCCGAACAGATGAAAAATTTATAGGGGATAAAAAATATGCCCATATTCACCGTTTAAATACTAAAACACGTTTAACAATGCTATGTTTAAGTGGTTTTGAACTATGTTCTCGAAGGGTGCCCCTGATCGAAGAAGAAATTGCCGTACAAATGCCGAAAAACTCGGCTAAAAGCGCAAAAATACAAGTCGACGAATGACAACTGTTATTTGAAGAATATGTGGTAGACTAATAATCCCTTAAATACAAGGTAAATCGACGTCTGAATCATTTCCATACATGCACATACATTGTATAAAATTATTCAGATGTATTGGGTCACGTTTCCTCTGTGAGGTTTAGCATAGACCATAAGAACTTATTTAGTTAATTGCTACGCTATTTCTTTTTCTTTGCCCCTCGTTTTATTATTTGTGAAAGGTGTTTCACTTTAATTCGGAAAATGAATTTTAGCTTGAAAGTCTGGTTGGCTAGTAACATAACCCGTCGTTTTACCTAACTTTAAACTCACAGCCGGCTGTACTTGCTGAAATTTAAGTTGCACGCGGCTTTGCCTTCATTAATAGCAGCTGTTATAATAATATTTAATAATTATTCCTCGGTCAAATAACTTTTAAGTTTTCCGGTTTGACTCTGTAGGAGTTTTATTTGTTTTCTTAAGGAAGTCCTGCCTGATGTTCTAAGATTCAAATACCGCGTTCGATGGAAGATCATCGAACAGGGGTCGGAAAAAACGCGGGGACGAAAACTGCATTTTTTGTAAATTTCCTTTGTCCACTAGTTTTTTGTTTGTTTCTTCCACTTTCTAGCTACTTTCTTGGCGACATTATGTGTAAGCTATACCCAATGACTGTAGTGTTTTCTATACTGTTCGGAGAAGCTAATAATTTCTAGGTGACCATTCCATTCATGTACAATTTTCGAAGTTTATCTAATAAATTCCCTACGATTTTTGAAGTTTTATTTTTTACATTTCATTGCCCAGGTTAGGATATTTTTCGTACAAAAGAAACCTAAAATTTTCGGATTCAAAAATGTGATGGAGAGAGGAATCAAAAAAAATTTTCACTTTCGTAATGCGCTAAATTGCATCTAAAATTTTCGGGGAAATAATACCAAAGCCCTTGCGATTTCGAAAAGACTTAAATTCCCCTAGAATGTCCAAACAGTTACAAATTTTATAGCGCCACTTAGAATGCATTTGTAAAGTCTTAAAAAGTTAGCCTGCGTAGCAGGCGCTTGGAAGTAGTGGGCGAAAAAGAGAACGGGCCCGCGCGAGGGAGACACGCGCCCGTTTTAAACATTTTACGTAGTTTCTTCAAAACTACCTCAATCTCAGTTTTTTCTGGCGGCAGTGTCTCAAGTGAATCCTTGATCTTAGAATAAAAACGTAAATGAACCACCAACTTCATTGATCGCCGTTATTTAAGTTTTCCTCATCTGTTCTGCATAATATTTTTCGAAGTATCTTCAAGACTGCTCTCCGGATTTCCCGATTACGCCAAATATACAAGAATGGATTTATAGCGGAGTTCATGTACATAATAGTGTCGAAATACAAACTGATGTTCCAATGTGGTTCATAAGTCACCCAAATTAGGGTGGATACAGCCACTGGAAAATAACAAAGAACCATACAAATGTAATATATAAATGTGTTTAGAGCGCGTTTCTTCGCTTGTAAATTGCGATTTTGTTCCGCATTCATACTCTGTACGGCTTGCTGTTGGGCGTGAATCTGATGTTGGTGGTGTCGAACGATTCGATAAATTGCACTGTAAGTAATTGAAGAAGTGAAAAGACATAACGCAAAAAGGACGACTGACACGAGTAGAATAGTATTTTTCTTCCAAATGATAAGCAGTGATAAAATGAAGTTTTTACACCAAAATGTTGCTGCAACACAGGTTGCACGTCTTGAGGTCATCATGTTCGGATATCGCATTTGATATCGTAGGGCCAAATATCGATCCACGCTGATGGCTGTCATTGTTTCAAGGGAAACACAACTGAGTTGAATATTGAGGACAAGGCTTGCTTGTGACAGACGTAAGTAAGAACTGACCCGAGAAAGCGATGTAAGGGCGCAGGTAATGTAAACTGGAAGAGCAAGAAGCCCAACAAAAAGATCAGAAACAGCAAGACTGCACAGCAAAATGGTAGACGGAGTGTGTAGGGAAGGATTTCTCCATACGGCGGCTAGTACCAAAACATTCCCAGCGATGCATATTGGTATCAGTAGAGCACTGAGGACACTATTCGGTATGATTACAGAGGTCCAGAAAGGTGAGGATTCTTCGTCACTCTCCAACCCATCACGCATCATATCGACAGTAGAGTTTGCCATGTTAAAATTTTCAATATTGTCAAATGTTTCTCTTCAAAGAGAAACTGCATATTATTTTTTATAGTTTCACCTGGCATCTTATTAAAATTATAACCACCTTGCCAGCATTTAATTCTTTAACTTATGTCTAATAGGGCTTTTTCAATCTTT